ACTTCTTAATTATTTTTACCTTGGCTGGATGTCCAAGAACCAAAATTCTACTGCTGAAGGGCAGGAATACAAGTTTAGAGTTCTGCTTGGCTTCAGGATAGGCTTCTTTTCCAGGCCAGAATGGATGATAGAGAAAGAAAGACTATTTAGTAGTACGTACTTAACATTTCTACTGTGTTTTTTTTAAGGGAAACTTAAATGACCTAGGAAAGCTTTTAATGCAAGGATCCTTTAGTGTGTGGACTGATCATAAGAAGGGTCACTCAAAAGTGAAAGATCTGGCACGGTTCAAGCCAATGCAAAGGCACCTCTTTCTCCATGAGAAGGCCATCTTATTCTGTAAGAAGAGAGAAGAAAATGGAGAAGGATATGAAAAAGCACCTTCGTACAGCTATAAGCATTCCTTAGACGTAAGATTTTTTTAATGTTCTAACACGTGGAGTGAAATTTATGGTTTGGGTGTAGTAGCACAATATATTCCTTTACCTCACTGAATGAATCTCTTTCCTGTAAGAAAAATGTCATGCAACTGTGTGGGTGTGGGTCTGAAATGTTGACATCTACAGAGTTAACTGTTTGACATGGCAATTTCAGTTTTTGTTCAGTTTGATTTACACTGCTTTCTTACTTTCTTTAAAATATGGCTCAGAATTCAGCAAATGATGGCTGTAAATAAGTACCATTGGAATTAGTGGGACTTAAGCTTAGTTTCCATCGTATTGATTGATGTTAAAGTCCTCAGTGGGGTGGAAGCCACAGCAGCTGTGACACTGAGATAACATGAAACGCTCTAGACCATGTATGAGAGTCTGCACTGCACTTCCTCCCCATGCTAGTATTAAACCTCAGGAAACTATGTTAATACTGTTTGCTCCCAGGTTTCTAATGTTATCCAGCTGCATGAGAAGGAGTGGCACTGCAGTGGTTCCAGTGGCACTGGAATAGAAATGCAGATGTCTGTGAAATGCTCTAGAAAACATAGGTTAACAATTGGGTTCTTTCCCTAGTTTTTCTCAAGTACCAATTTCTACCTTTTCCCCCCCTCAGAATTAACTGTGGAAGAGCCAGTTTGGCGTAGTGGTTAAGCACACGGACTCTAATCTGGGAGCGCTGGGTCTGATTCCCCACTCCTCCACTTGCTCCTGCTGGATGACCTTGGGCAAGCCGTAGTTCTGATAAGAGCTGTTCTTGAAAAAGAGCAGTTTCTGTCAAGAGCTCTCTCATCCCCACCCACCTCACAGGGTATCTGTTGTGGGGAGGGGAAGGGAAAGGAGTTTGTAAATCGCCCTGAGAAGGGCGGGGTATAAATCCAATCTCTTCTTCTTCCTCATTATGGAAATGACTATTGGAAATCCTCAGCAATCCATTCCCCGTCTTTTCTTCCATTATGTACAGCTCTCAGACTGATGACTCCACATTCCCAACATACTATAAGTTATCATGCTGTCCAAAGTGGACAGAACAAGAAATTAGGGTTTGTTCTTTTTCATCCAAACCAAGATTGATATCTGCTTTGGAATCCTGGCTTGTAGGCAAGAGAACAGACGAAAGATTGCACAACTAGAGATGGAAGTCTTCACCACACTTTGAGTCACTTATACCAACTCCACTACCTTGGATAAGCAGTTTTTCTGTTTTCCGCCATTATAATCCTTCTTTTGGTCAGCTGACACTACAAGTTCATAGGGAGGGGCAATGTTAAAAGAAACCATAACAAACCCACAGAGAGAGATACCTCTGGATGAAAACATGGAGGTTTTGTTTAGCTGTGTGTCCTGTGTTTTCTAGATGACTGCAGTTGGAATAACAGAGAATGTTAAAGGTGATGCTAAAAAATTTGAAATCTGGTATAATGCAAGGGAAGAAGTTTACATAATTCAGGTAAGTAATATCATTCTTATGCTGTTTTTACTGAAATTATGCAGTGGTGCATTTTTGTTCCCATACATGACATTATGTTATTTTTAGTGAAAATAGAGGCAAATTGTATGCTTTCTGCGCTGTTTTAAACAAGCTATATGCTGCATCTACAGCTGATGTAGTTTACAAATGTAAATGGACCTTCTGTATTGAGGTTTTTCTTCATTTTGGCATCCAAATTGGAAATGGTTTGTTCTGCCAAGCACCCACATGACGTTGCCCCAACTGTCCACTTAACTAGTTTTCCCCTGCTTTGCTCTGATCTTTTCTAAATCTGGTTTGATATGATCTTCTGGGGAAAGATTGCTGTCAAAATATGGTTAGATGCTGTGTGGATGGGAAGTTATGCATTTTTACAAGTCCTGCCCACATCAGTGCCATTTTCCTTGCCTCGGCCCATTGTGGCCACCATTTCCACCACCCCTTGTACATACCTTTGAGAGATTTTTAAAAGAAGGTAATTGTTATAGTGCAATCAAGAGAAATATTTTCAGTTTTTTTTAAAAAAAAGCTTGAAAATGCCATCTGGTGCAGGCAGGCAAGCTCAGGCAGCTGAAGCAAGGAAAGTAGACGGAAAACCACCCAGTATATGTTCCATTGCTATTGTGGGTGTTTTGGCATTGGCTACTCAGAGAATTGTCACTATGTGGAAGCAACCTTGGTTTTGTTAGAAGGCAGTATTTCTTAAAGATGACGGCAAGAGGGCAGTACTGAGCAGTCTATAGAAAGCATTGCAAATGCAAACAGATCAAATATGACCAAATACATAATTGCAAAAACTGCCACTCATTCTCTGCCACCAAATAGGTTTCAGGCCTAAGCCCTATTTTTAACAGGAAACTAAGAATAAAGCCCATGTGCAAACTGCTCGCCTTATAAAAGTGTTAGAACATCCAAACTGCAGTGTCTTTCAGAACAATAAGACATTTTGGTAGCCATGGCAGAGACACAATCTGTGCTTCATTCTAGCCAAAAATAACACCTCTTCTTTCATATCCCAGGATATTGGTTCTTCTGACTGCTTTCCTTTGGCTAGCATTGGCCCCGGTCACATGGAGCATTTGCCTCGCTGAAGGCACAGGAGTCCCGCAGAGTATCCGGGCGCGATCACACAGGAACATCTGGGAGGCGTAGCACTCCCGTGGCAACCCCGTGGCAAGCCGCCGAAGCCGCGCAGTAAAAAACTAGCACACCGCATGTACTAGCAAACGCTTTGCCACGGGCCGCCTATGGAAGCCTCCCGGTGTGATCGCGCCAACACGCAGCTTCCTCCCCCATCGTCCTCTTTGCTGCGGGGAAGCTGCCATCACGTCTGATCGCATAATAGCGCATCAGAATGCGACGGTGCAAATAGCCGCACTTCCCCCCTACGTTTTCTGGCACGTCTGGCCGGGGCCTTAATTTGGCAAGTGTTTGACTGGATTATTTTTCTTCTTTGAGGTAGGCTCAAACCCCCGGAATTAAAGCCACCTGGGTAAATGAAATTAGAAAAGTACTGACCAGTCAACTTCAGGCATGCAGACGTAAGTCTTGTTTTTTCCACCTGTAATAATCGCAAAGTGACTTGGGATCAATTTATACAAAAGTAATTCCTTCCGTTGTGATGTTTCATTAACTTAGTTATTGTTCACAACATGGATGACGTCGTTTTGTCCAGTTTAACAGCAGCACATGTGGATTACTGTGGTATTAATTTGCCATCCGTCCAGAAGGAAAGGAGGGCCTGTTGTTTCTCTTCCAGCACAGACTTCCTATGTCCTTCCCTTCCAAGGGAAAAAGTGGCAGTTATTTTTTTCTTGGAGTGTGTTACTCTGTATCTCCAATTAAGTGTCTCCATCTGGCCAGGGAGGGGACAGGTTTGCTATCTCAATGACATCCCCCCAGCCCACCCCATACACAGTTACTCATTGAAACTATCTGGGAATATTCCTTCCCCTCCTAATCCAGAGATTTATGTCCTAGCCCAAGTATGTGTGTTTGGGGGGTGGAGAGCAATGTTCCCTCTAAGCTGTGGAGTCTGGAATTAAAGTTGTGAGCAGGCGATTTGCCTATTGCATCAATTAGTTTGCTCTGGAGCCATGCTTCCTGAGCAAAGACAAAAATGTGTGAGCCGGAGGCTAAAAAACTGTGAGCTAGCTCACACTAACCAACCCAGCGGTTCAAAAGCACGATGTAACACCAAATGTGCGAGTAGATCAATGGGTACCTACCTTAGATGGTAGGGGGCACCTTCCCCCCATTGAGGGGGGTTCGTGGAGTGGTGACGAGAGGCGAGGCAGCGAGCAGCAGACGGCGGAACAATGGCGACGGAGGACAACATCTTTGAGGGTCCAGACGGTGGTGAAAAAGGCGGAGCCAGGAGGACGCCGGAGCATGGAGGGCGCAGGCGCGGCGGAGCCTCAATGGACGGAGCCGGAAGCCGCACCGGAAGTGCGCCGAGCCCCAGAGAGGCCCGCTGTATCACCACCGGAAAAGATCATGGACAGAAAGAGGTAGAAGCCAGAAGAAGCTGTGCCGATGAGCCGACAAGCCGATCCAGAACGTCCCTCCACTGGGTGCTGTTAGGACAGTCCCCACCCCAGCATATATGTGGCCCTAGGTAAGGGATAATGGTTAACTGTAGCCGCTCAGAGACCCCCTGGGGGGGGGGTTCGAGCAGGGTAGCAAGTTGAAAGTTAAATTAAATAAATAAAATAACTCAGCTTAGAGGGAACACTGGTGGAGAGTCAGGACATTATGAAGGGGAGGACATTGGAATGGGTCTCATGGCAGGCTGCCTGGCAATGACCTGCCTGGTGGACCCACCCCTGGGCCCAGCAGCCGTACTCACCCGGGGGGAGCGGGGTGGGGAGAGCAGGGGCATCATAGCCTCATCAGCCAGGCAGCTTTGGCAGCCTGTCCTAGGGAAGCCCAAAAGGTACGGAGGCAGTGATAGGAAAGCAATGGGTTTCTGGGCCCAGGTGTTTTAAGGGAGGGCATGGCTGTGTAGAACAGGGAACAGAGAAGAGGAGGGTGGAGCTCAGCTCAGGTGTAAAAATTCATATCACACAACAAATTATAATTAAGCTCCCTTAACCATGGGCAGGTATGATGCCTTTAAGTACAAATCTCTCTTAGAAGTTGTACAGTTGCACATTTGTATGACATCCTGAAGTCAGTTATGTCAAACAAAAAATAGCAGATTAGCTAAGTGAAGGCACAAGGGCACAGTTGGTTCTGCCTACAGATGTAATACTGAGGTGCCATAGTTAATATGAAAACAGTTTGTTGTAGTCTGATTGAAACCGTATCATTTGACCTGTCTTCTGTCTGTAGTGACTCCTCAAGCTTGTTGTAAAAGAGAACCAAAGGTTTGTAGTATGGCTAAAGTTCTTTTGAGTGTCTCTCTTCCTTCCTTACAGAAGCCAGCCAGCATAGAGTTCTTGAACATACACACAGTTTACCTCTGCCTCCATCATCTAATGCAAGGTGATTTACTGTCTGTTCTCATATTATTTGGAAGATCTTTATAAAACATACTTTCCTCATTTAGATGCCTTGGCTTGGCTTCTGTTTAAATTATGTAATGGATTTTAACTTACTACATAGGTGAAACAACTTTTAAGTTTCTGCTTGTTTTTAAGTGCAGCATGCTTTAGTTGTTAGGAACAGCAGAAGATGGTGAACCCAACTTTGCTAGTTCTCCTACAGTCTTCAAAGCAGCCACATGTATCAGGTCCACAGTATTATGTTTAGTTTGGCTCTACATACCAGGTAGGAGCTGTGGTGGCTCAAGTGGTTAAGACGCTGAACTGCAGGCTGAGGAAGGTCAGTAGTTCAGCAGTTCGAGACCCAGGTGCTGCATGACAGAGTGAGCTCCCATCTCTAGTTCCAGCTCCGGCCAACCTAGCAGTTCAAAAGCAAGAAATTGCAAGTAGATAAATAGGTACCACTTTGGTGGGAAGGTAACAGCATTCCGTGCGTCTTGGTGTTTAGTCATGCCGGCCACATGACCACGGAAACGTCTTCGGACAGCGCTGGCTCTTCGGCTTTGAAACGGAGATGAGCACCGCGACCTTAGAGTCGGATTCAACTGGCTTTTGAGCGAGGGAACCTTTACCTTTACTTTTTACCAGGTACTACATTTTCTGACCTGAAAGGGTCTTCAGTCCAAAAGTGAGCCAGGGAAATAATGTATTTCAATAAACAGCTGTTTGTATAATTTATAATCTTTGCAGTGTGAATTTTATACACTGGTCAAAATAAAATATGTCATTTCTCTCAAATATAGTTAGGGTGGCACCCCTGAGAGCATTGAAAGCAGGGCAAGGGGAGAAAATGATGTCATACAATGTGTCCACATCACTTCCAGGTAAAAACCGAGATGTGATGTCAGTGCATCATAGGATGTCATTACCACACCCCGCATTGTTCCCACCAGTTCAGACACAAGAGTGGGTGAGAGGGCCAAGCCACCAGGAGACTGTCCATCCAAAGTGGGCAGATTTGTAAGCTTAGATACACTCAGTGTTACTGGATTTTGCTTTAATGTTGTTCTTTAATGTACTCTTGTATTTTTTTTTGTAAACAGTCCTTCAAGAAATCAAGGAAGGAATAGCAAAAGACAGGAAGAAAGAAATGCTGATCCTGTAAGTCCTGATGGTTGCATCACCTCATCATCGCCGAAGTATCCTGAACGGGGCAAAGGTATGTTGGGAATATATTTTAGTTATCCCTTGGCATCAAGTACTGTGAAGTGTCAGAAGCTGTAGTGTGAAATGATAGTTTCTTAATTTGTGGTATCTGTTCTTGTGGAAGATATAACCAGCAACATTTTTTTAAAAACTAAAATTATTTTTTGTTTATGTCTGTCAGATGTATAGCTAACATTATCTAGTTCAATACCTGCTAAAAATTACCTAACTTCTTTATGGAAATGGCCAGGATTTTTCTGCATGAACCTATTTTCCTCTTTGGTTTTCATTTCTAGTTTTCAAGCCCATTTTTAAAATGCAGAAGATTGCAGAAGATACTAAGTGCTTAGATTGTCACGTTAATTTGATCAAATGTCAGTTATTATTTCTTCACAAAAAAACTCCACCCTTCTTCTGTCATGACGTTGGATAACTTCTGTTTACCTTTGTCTTGTGTGTTCTTCCTTTCTTCTCCCATCTTCTTCCTTTTTCTAGAAGATACAATAACTAGTCCTACCTCAGATTGCTCAGCTCTTTCAAAAAAACACTTCACATTGCAAAGCTTTCCTAACCCCAAACCTCAGAAAGGTAAATCTTAGAAATGTAAACTAATTTGTTGTCTAGTCTAGACTGTAGGTGTCACTCACTTTGTATGCATATGTATACGTAAACCATTGCAGAAATACCAGGATTTCCAAGCTCTAAATTGGTTCTTGCTGTCTCAAAGCCTTCTGTAGGCATCCTAGATTTAGAAACCTTGGACATGTTAGTCTCAAAAATATCTTCAATGAATAGTGGATGTAGGGTTGCAAGGTCCCTCCTGGCGACTGGCGGGGTGTGGAGGGGACTTACCAGGAGAAAGAGGAAGGCCACATCGCTAGTGTCACACAGGAAGTGATGTCATCGTGCTGCGATGTCCCTGCAATACTTTGATATATGAACAGAATCTGTATGGAAAAATGACTTCTACCATAAACATTTTGCCCAAATATGAGAGTGTCATCCGAAAGTCACTAGCTTGACAACGTCACTAGCGTGATGGTGTCACTTCCTTTTTGATGCCGGAAACATGGCCTGGGTCTTCCTATTTCACTGCCAGGCAGCTGATCAGCAGTGAGGGCCAGGCTCTGGTGGCAGAGAACCCCCACCTCCACCAAGGGGGGGACTGGCAACCCTAAGTGGATGCCATTCTATTCCATTCTTGTCATTGCTTCTACCTTGAACATAGTTGTTTACTTCCAGAAAACATTTTAGAAGTTATGTTTATTACAATATTGCAACACTGAATTATTTTTATTCAAAAAGTCCTATCTGCAAAATATGACCTTCCTAAGCCCTAAGTTGGGGAGAATTCTTGTTTTCTAAAACATGGCGGAGTTTTGCTCTGAAAACTGAGAGCTATTTTTTAAAATTCATTTTCCTTGTCTATGACTATGTATGAATGCATTTTTAACATATATCCCCACTTTGGTCGGCTTTAAAATATGCTTTCAAAATGTTTTTTGTTGCATGTTACCAATGCTGCTATTGCTGTGCTTTGTGAATGCATTCTCCCCCGTATGGTTCCATGTTCATAGTTTATATGAACTGTACAGGGTTATGCAAATGTGAGTTTTCATTCATAGTGAATGAGGAAGACACATTTGAAGCAACCCATTTACCATCTCGGAGCCATCACCACTACAATATGTGCATCAGCTTCCCTGTGCATTTTTGGTGCTCATTTCTATAATATGTCTTTTGAACAACCTTGATTACTTTTTAAGGCTTGGGGGGGGGGGGTTCTGGACAAACCACAGATTGTTGCAGCCAGATATTTAGTATTCACATAGTATAAGTACTAATATTCCATGCTTGACCTGACAGAAGCAGTCCCCTACAGCTAAAAGCCAGCCTCAGCCAATAATCCTTCTTCCAGGACCAGGTGTAGGGTTTAATTTTGTATGGGGCATAAATATTTAAATTAAATAGAAGATGCTTTTCACATGGCAGATTGCGCCACTACTTGTTTCTATTTCCCAGCACACACCCAGACATGACTTGCATGCGATCCACATATTCTTTCTCTTTCTGATTCTTCAATTTCCCTTTTTCTGTCTTTTTGCCTATTCATCCTATTGCAGCTTCTCCTACCAGCCCTGACAAAAATGCTAAACGACATGAAGTAAAGAGTGATCCAACTCCTTTGGGTTTGAAAGGTAGAGTGGAACCTACTTTTCATATTCCATACATATTAGGGCCTTGTTGTAATGAATTAACTCTATCACCAATCTCTTTTCTCCCCTCCAAGTATTCTCACTACTGCTACTGTGTGGAAGTTTAATACCCCTTTATAATCCGTCTCTGAGTAAACTGAAAACCACCATGGATTGCTCTTTCAAAGAAAGCATCTTCCCATTGTCTAGTCTACTCATTACAGTTGCCCCACGGAACCTACTGTAAACGGCAACTGTCTTAATAGGGATAAGATCTTACCAGGCCTCTGACAAATAGCATGAAGAATTCTAATGTCATGTGGATTTGGATATTCTCATTGAATCTGGAGGATGTCCTGATACTTTTTTCCCTCATAATGTGGTATGCCACATCCAATTTATCTTGGAACATGTTCTAAGAAATGTTGTCATCAGAACGACCATCACCTCATTTCATTGTGCCAGTGTCCACTGAGATACTAGTGAACTGGTTTCACTGTTTAAGCATTATATGCATTCTATCCTAATTGACGCTAGAATTCCACATGGTTGAAGAATGTAGGCCACAGATTAACGCTTGAGCTTGGCTTCCTACACCTTTTCTTGAAAGAGCTGAATCAAATAAAGAATGTTACTTAGACAAAGTTGAAACTTTAAAGGCTATATGAGTGTCATGTTATTTTCAGTATATCCTTGCTAATTTCTTTGCTGATTTCACAGGGACAGTTGTAGGTTTCATTGTAACCAACCACATATGAATCCTGTAAGAGCAGAGCTTTTCAATAAAAAGCACATTTCAAATGAAGAGCAAACACTGGGCCCTGTATGAAGTTGTGGGGGAAAAGATTTATGTGGGTAGCTATCAGCATTAAACATTTAGGAAAATGAGACCAGGGATTGGGGGGGGGGCACCTGTCAGTATTAAGACTGAATAATAAGCCTTTGGAAAAAAATGTGTCTACATTTGTCTACATTTTCACAGAAACATAATTGGTCTGGCTGTGTTAGGCAGAAATTTTTGAAACTTTTTTTTGCCTGTGCTGCTTTTCATGTGGAATATTATGAGGTTATGCAGTATCTAGAACAGCTGTGACGTGGGTTGTACAAAATCAGAGGGGCATGGTTGGGGACTGGGAGCTGCAGTGAGGGAGGGAATGATTCTTCTTTGCCGCAGTCTCCAGTGGCACTTTGTAGACAGGGTGCTGCTGGGAGTGGGGAAGGCAGGGAAGATCCAGTTGTGCCTTGCTCTTTCCATTCATAGTACCTAACCTAAGGGTGTTGCATTCGACATGGCATGATGCTGACAGCAAGTGTAAATAGACAACGAAGGTGCAATAAAAATTAAACATGAATTTATTATATAAAACAAAAATTAGGGCCATTGTGTCATTGGAAGCTTAAGCAAATGTCTAAAAAGGGCAAATGACATGAGAAGTACAAAATACAAGATTGTAAACATTTAGTTCAGAGAGGCTCCTTCAGAACTTGCATTTTAGTCTTTGTCAAGCCATTGTTAAAAGGAAGTCAGGCACCTGTTTGAGAAAGAAACAGCCAACAGGGTCCACACAGGTACTGATCTTCGCAGTGGCATACACCTGAAGAGCTCCAAAGGACTTTCTGGTGACAGCCCCTGAACAAAAGATTCAAAGTTTATTTAAACCTTTTTGAAGGTAATGAAAAAAACCCCCTTAGGATTGAATGGGAAAGCTGGCCTGTAGTCAGTAGTAGAAGAAGAAGAGATTGGATTTATACCCCGCCCTTCACTACCCAAAGGTGTCTCAGAGTGGCTTACAAACTCCTTCCCCTTCCCCTCCCTACAACAGACATCCTGTGAGGTAGGTGGGGCTGAGAGAGCTCTTGACAGAAACTGCTCTTTTTCAAGAACAGCTCTTATCAGAGCTACGGCTTGCCCAAGGTCATCCAGCCAGGTGCCAGTGGAGGAGTGGGGAATCAAACCCGGTTCTCCCAGATTAGAGTCTGCACACTTAACCAGTACACCAAACTGGTGTAGGACAAAGAATTGCAGTCCAGCCAACAGCTAATCACATACCGAGGAAGGTAACTTTGAATCAAGCACCTGACACTTAGTTCATTCCATGGAAAGTGCAAAGTGGCCTGGTATAGGAAAGTCCACATAAAATATTTCACAGCGCTCTGGTACAACTTGTAAGTGAGGATGGAAGCCTCCATTGTAAGATGACAAGCACAGAAAGGTCAGGTGTTAGATAAAATTATTTGAAGTAAAAGAAAATGAAGTATTTCAGTGTGTCCCACATAAGATGGGGGGACTTCGGCAGATAGACAAATATCTAGTCAGGGTCGGTCTGGTATTTCTAAAATACGGCTAAGAGAGGATAGGTTTATGATACCCATACAGTTGGTTATGTCCAATGGGAATAAGGCTTTTATATTTAATTGAAAATAAATTTTTGAGTCCATTGTAACCTCCCTGAAAAGGCTCATCTGGCAGGGCCGTGTCAATATCCCTTATTACCGGCTTCTTTGATTAATGTGAAGGGGGGGGGGTTGTGCTGATGTGGAAATTGTTTCATTTCTCCCTTTGCAGAAGAACTTTAATTTCATAACACTGTAGTCTGATCTGCCAAGAAGCTTGTGCAATTCTGAAGATCCTTTTTTTGGCTGTTTCTCTGAAATCTTATGTAAAAAACTGAAAATCTGTGACAAGAGGTGTTGCAGCATATAGATAGCAAATATTATGAGAGGTAAGGGAGAGAAAAAAGAATGTTCTGTGTTTAGTAAACAGTGCTGAACAGCTTACTTTGTATTTCACTTTAACTATGATGGGGCTCCCAATTTCACTCTCAGAATGAGGGCAACATCACAGCTACAGTGTAATGCACTGGAGATTTATTATTCAGTTCTTCCACAGATGCCAGTTCTGTTTTAACATGGAACAGGGCCAAGTGGGTCAGCACTACTTACCTTATGCTAGCCGTGCAACGCAGGCAAGGTAATGTATCTCCTCTGGGTCACATGAAGTTCTGCATGGTGTGGTGTGCTTTGCTGTGAATTGTGACCGCTTAAGGGGGTTCCTTTGGCTTTTCCTTGGCATCCGTTAGCCTGACCTGACAGACAATAATATTTGCTTGACTGAACTAGTGAGATAAAATAAAAACCTAGTTTCGTTGTTACATTTTAGATGTAGCTATAAAGCTACAATTTCCCCCCACTTCATTTTTTTGTTATACCTGCAACATAGGGTTTCCACTCTGAAGCTTTCCTTTCTTATTAACTTGTGTCATACTTTGTCAGGGTAGCTTACAGTCTCTTGCCTTTTCACCAATCTGTGAGGTAAATTACAGAAAGAGAGAGAGTTGTCTGAAGTCAACATTGAGCACCTTCATGGCAAAGCAGGGCCATCAAATCCAACGGCAGCTCTCTGTATATCTTAGGTCATACTAGTAGAATGTCTATCAGTATAATAGAGGTGGACAACAAGGGTTTGTAGGTTGCAAGGACTGTGAGTAGGGATGAACTCACTAGTAGGGATGGACACACACCGGCTGACAAACTAAAGTGCGTCATGAATTTTGGGCGGTTTGTGGTTCGCAAAGCAATGTTTGTGAACTGAAGAACCGCTGTGAACTTTCATGAATTTTGATGCTGTTTGTAGTGGTTTGTGAAGAGCAGAAAGCAGGGGTTTAAACCCCTGCTTTTTGCTCTTCACAAAAACAGCTCCCCGCTGCTCAGCTGTTGGGTTTAAATCGCTCCCAGCCATCTCACCCCCTGCTTTCTGCTTGTGCTGCAGAGAGCAGAAAGCAGCGAGCCATTTAAACCAAACAGTTGAGTGGTGGCAAGCAGAAAGCAGGGGGTGAAATGGCTGGGGACCATTGAAACCCCTGCTTTCTGCTCCATGCAGCTTTTCACGTGGAGCAGAAAGCAGTGGCTTAAATGGACCCCCTACTTTCTGCTCCCCATGAAAAGCAGTGGGGAGCAGAAAGCAGGAAGTTAAATGTTAAACAGCTTGTGAACCAATATGAACTAGGTCAGTTCACAAACCGATCTCCCAGATCGTGTGGGTTTGGGTTTTGTGCCCATCCCTACTGACAAAGTAATCTAAAGATTCCCTTCAGTCAAAGCTGAGCCATCCAGTGTCAGGGGTGAGGGTGGCAGAGGTTGCCTTCACCATGACACTGTTCCCAAATGTAGTAATGGTAGGCAGCTATTAAATTTTTATGAGAGAGAATAAAAATATGCATATATTAACACCATGGGGTGGGGCTAAAGCTGCCCCACATTACTTCAGTTTGATGTGAAAAAGGAGGTTGTGTCCCTCTTGGAGTGGTCTTGTCAACTGTAGCCCATTTCCTTTGCTCCAACCAAACCATTTCTTTTCTGTTTACTTCAGGTAAGTTTGATTCTCAAGATGGCTGCAAAGAGAATTTATGATTGTCACAGCATTGATTCATATTCAATATAGTTAAATTAATACAGGGATCAGTGCAATTGGCTTTAAGGGCATCTAACATCTGGTCTAAGCAGCTGGTCTAAATGGACTCAATTTTCATTCAAATGTTGCACATTTAAGTGCCAGCGACTTTTAACATGACTGTATAGTGCAGTGGTGGCGAACCTATGGCACGGGTGCCAGAGGTGGCACTCAGAGCCCTCTCTGTGGGCACGCGTGCCATCGCCCCAGCCGGGCCCAGACCATCATTAAAGTGTCGAATTCTCTGTCAAATAATTTTAAGTAAATGAAAGCATTTGGGATTGCTTTCCTTACTTTGTTTGGATCATCTTAAGTTAATGTATGGGTTGTTTTTTCTAAACTAAAACCTCAGCATTCAGGTTAAATTGCCGTGTTGGCACTTTGCGATAAATAACTGGGTTTTGGGTCGCCATTTGGGCACTCGGTCTCTAAAAGGTTCGCCATCACTGGTATAGTGTTTCAAAACCATATGTGTATAGTGTTCAAAATCTTCATAGAGTCTATGAAGATAGAGTTTGATGCATTGTCTAACCATGGTTTGATGCTGTGTGTCGTGTTTCATGGCCAAGGCAAAAGGCTCAGTGCCAGTAAGTCACGGAAAGGCCTCTGGCATCTGGGTACGGTAGACAGTCCCAACTATAGTCAAGTCCCAGGCAAGAGGTCAAGGGACCAATGTTAGGAATCGATACAAGGCAAGTCCAAGAAGCATAGTCAAGTCCAGGACAAAGGTTGTAGCACAAGGAGCCAGGATATAGAGCAAGTCCAAGAGGCGTAGTCAGGTCCAAAATGAAGGTCAGAGCACAAGAAGTCAGGAAGCAAGACTGATCCATGGAGTCATTGGAAAAGTAGGGAGCTGAAATGAAAGTTGTTGCCAGCAAAGAACTGGCTGTAACCCCACAGTATTTATGGGGCTGTAGCAGCCCCTCCCTGTCCCGGTGTTTCTTGTCCTTTAAAAGGAGCCAGCAGTTTCTCCAGGTGTGAGCACTTACTGCTGCATTCTCTTTTGCCTTTGTCTCTTTTCCCTTTGATGCTCTAACAGTGTAGGTGGGGAGATTCCCTCCTCCTCAGAGGTGGGCTGTAATTCCTGGGAAGCGTTTCTGTGAGTGAACCCCAAACGAGCCTTGGCTTTTGCTTTCCATCTTTCATGACCAGCAGTTCCCATCTGTTCTTCAGCCAACCAGGTGCGCTGTGATGCATGAGCCAGGCAAGCTGTAGTTTACAAAAACCGTAGGTTGCCCAGAAAACATACATAAAAACCTGCAACTCAGTTGTTTCGATCATGTGTCTGAAACAAGTTATTGGGGGGGGGGGATTATTTGTGCTTGCTTGTTAATAATGGAGGACAATTGGTTTATTAAGGCTGGTCTAAAACGTCTCAGTCCTTTGATGCTTCTGAAGAAAATGATGGCTGGTCCAGTGCTGAGGATCCACTTAATTCTTCAGATGCAGAGGAAGAAGGAAGAGGAGAGAAAAAACTGGTAACTATTATTTTTTCCTCTAGTGTCTAGCCACTATGGGGTGGTGGTGGTATTTTTTTGTATTTTTTGTATTTTTTTATATGTGCATGTGTGTGTGTACACTTGGAGGTCATGTCGACCTTTGGTGACTGAGGATATTCAGAGAGGTGGCTGAATAAAGCCTGCTCTTGCCTCTGGTATTCCAAGGAGGTCTCCCATCCAAGTACTTGCCGGAGTTGACCCTGCTTAGCTTCCGAGATCTGAAGAGATCGGGCTTGCCTGAGCTATCCAGGGTCAGGGCCAATGTTCCCTGTAAGCCGTGGAGTCTTGTGAGCAAAAATTCTACTTTGTGAGCTCCTGGCATTAAAGTTGTGAGCAAGCGATCCGGCTACTGTGTAAATTAGTTTGCTCTGGAGCCCTCCTTCCTGAGCTAAGAGAAAAATCTGTGAGCCCGAGGCTAAAAAACAGTGAGCTAGGCTAGCTCACACTAACTCAGCTTAGAGGGAACACTGGTCAGGGCGAGTTTCATATTTTTAATTGTTTGCTGTTTGCTAGTGGATGTGGTGTGTTTGCTGTTTTGTTTATTTCAACACCATATCCAATTTGTAAATTGCTTCAGGCTGTGAATGTATGGGGTATGTCTATTTAAAGTAAATTGGGGGTTTTTTCATGCTGCATGTGCCTCCTAGAACCCCAGTGGCAGATGGGAATTAGTTTATTTGGTAGGGTAGGGCATAAACTAGATTTTTTTAAAAAGCTAATAATATCCTGCAGTGATATTTCCCAAATACTGTTCAGAAGTATGGAAGTTCATACATACGTACACTCTCGTGACCATCATTAATAGGCAGTGGAGTGGGCGGAGCAGAGAGATAACTTATACATTGGTGGGAGAACTGAGTTTTGCGTGTTATTTCATTTTTGTGGGAAGCTGGCCTACCCAGTGACAGGGAGATTTATCAGATTATTATTTATTTAAATTTATATTCCACCCTCCCCCGCAAGCGGGCTCAGGGCAGATCACAGAGCAAAATCAAGACATCATAAACATTTCAATACATATTAAATATGATTTACAAACAATTAAAACAGTGTAAAACAGCATAGATTAAAACAGGTCACACTATTCATATGCATAGATTTCAAGATGGTGCCATTTTCTTCTTCTTAATCTGGGCCACATAGAGATGGTAAACTTCAGCGGGGGGGGGGGATTTTGTTCCCATCACAAAGTTGTACTACCTCTTTACTTCTCAATGGCAGCCCTTCACTTGTATGTCAGAAAGTAAAGAAATAACCCAGCAGGGGAGAAGGGCTAACCCTCCAGTTTATATATAGCTCATAGGTCCAGTCAATTTTTTTCTGTACTGTAGAACACTGTTGAAAGCTGCTCAGAGTTTCACAGCTTCTTCGTGGGCTTTCTTGATTATACTAAAGGAAATGGCATTTGTGTATGTTCTGTGGGCATAATTAAGCCCCCCACCCATGAAGCAGCTTCCATGTCTTGTTTTTAAGGGGAAGTACTCCACATTTAAGAAATCCTGTGGACACTCAGAACTTGTGTCTTCATAGGGGAGAACAGGAAATCCCTATGCATGTGGGAAGAAGGTTTAAGTTGTTCCCAGTGTTAGTAGTTAATGGGACCACTGGGTTGTCTGTTCCTGGTAGAATTAGGGTTAAAGCCCTAAATGGTCAGGGGCCTGCCTACCTGAGGGACCGCCTTTCCCCGTATGTTCCCACAAGAGCACTGCGGTCTGGAACACAACACCGCCTGGCCCTAGGGACGCCAGGTTGGTGGTAACCAGGGCGTTCTCCCTGGTGGCGCAAACACTGTGGAACAAGCTCCCCAATGAGATTAGAGCTCTACGGGACCGCCAGCAGTTCCGTAGAGCCGTGAAAACTGAGCTGTTTCACCAAGCGTTCAAATAAGAACTGACTGCACCAGTTGGGTTGCCCTAGCACTTTACCATAGGATGTTGCCATATTTACTTAGTTTTATTGTATTTGTTGTATTTTATATCTTTTATTCGCTGTTTTAAATTGTATGTTGTTTTAAACTGTTGTAAGCCTCCCTGAGCCACCTCGGCGGGAGGGCGGGGTAGAAATCCAATAAATAAATAAATAATCACAGTAAAAATAATAATTCATTAATCAGTCATTTTTGTTCTAAAAAAATTGTGGTTTCCCACTCTCCCATGTACTTAGACTCCTGGTAAATACACTGTTATAGCTGATTGTGACAAAGGACGTTCTGAAGACCTGATGCTGAAAAGTGGAGACTTAGTTCAACTGATCCATGAAGGAGACGATGGACTTTGGTATGAAGAAGGATCCTAACTCTGATCCCGAACGGTTGTTAAACGTGTGGGGGTGTGTGTGGTAGGATCTTGTACTCCTTCTCCCTCAGTAGTAACCAGCTAGTTTGCAAATTATGGTTAGGATTAGTGACAATATAATTCTTAACCATGCCTATGGATGTTGTAAAAGCATATTTTTTTCATAAGAAAGGGGTACTGTGTGGAGGAAGCAGGTGATCTCGTTCCCCAAGAGGTGAGGCTGCCACTGTCTCTCTAGACTTTCAGGGAGAACTGTTCAAAAGGCCCTTGGACTGACTGGTGCCATTTTCTCTTCTGCTGCATTTTCACCGAGTCCTTGTGTTGTTTTAAAATTCATGTGAACAATCCAGTGGGGGAAGAGGGCTAGACAGGTCTGAAATGCCCTACGCCAGTAATCTCAAAATGTTGTTAAAGATCTGGTGTGAAGTCCATACTGGACTTTCATTATTAATTTAAAATATTATCCATCTCTAAAGACTGCAATAGCTTCCAAATGAGAGGAGGTATGCATAATCATGTTTTGCGGCATACAGTTTAAGAGCAAAATTTCTGCTTCTTAGGTATATTAAGAATCTGAGCACAAGTAAAGAAGGCTGGTTCCCAGTTAATAGTCTTTTGTTGCTTCTTGGCAACTCAAAATCTGCTGTGTCTCTGAGCAGCTCAGGTAAGTTGTAAATACTTTAACTTAGGCTGTTTCCACTTGGACGTTTTATTGCAGTTTGGTATCCAAACCAGAGCAGGTTTTGTTGCTGTTGTTTGGGGTGGTGGGAGAGAATCTACAGGATGATATCCCCAGTCATCCACTTTATTTTGCCCTACTTTGTTGCAAGTTTTCCAAAACCTGGTTTGATATGATCTTTTAGGAAAGATTATGGTTTTTGTGTATTTGTGTGCCATGTGAATGGAAAGGCATGCATTTTTGCAGGCCCTGCCCATATCAGAACCATTTTCCTTGCCTCAGCCCTTGGCTCATTTTGCCATTTCTCCCCTACCACTAGATGACTTTTTCAGGCTTCTTTTTAAAAATGGCAGTTGACATATTATTATATCATTATAGCAATATTTCGACTAGCTCCTGTGAATCCCAAATTTCCATTTAAAAAAACAACATCTGTATCCCTTTTCATTGTGAAGATATAAGGGAACTCAGCATAACTCTGCAATCACAAGGCCCTGAGACACCTTTTTTTAGAATGAAAGCTAAGGACTCAGAGGAGTTAGTAGATAGATTTTTATAACATTATCATGCTATGGAAATATGCCATTTTTAAAAAGACCATGAACATATCCTCTGATAGTAGTGGTAAGGAATGGTGACAGCAAAAATCTGAGGCAAGAACAGTGTGGGAAAGCTGCTGGGTGGATGCTCTGCAGTAGCAATGTAAAGACTTGTCACCATGCGGAAACAGCCTTTGATTAGCTTGTGAAAGAGTCCAAAGAACTGTAGTTCAAAAATT